TACAAATATGAATTTATTCATCCAACCTATACTCCATCATCAAATAAATTTTTGTATTTGTATGTGTAAAGATTATTATTATTTCACAACTGAAATATTAATGACAGACCACTTACTCTGATATCTAGTCTTTAGTTCTCTTGAATATGGAGTTATGAAACTTGAGCTTCTGTCAAAGCTAGTGGGACGTAGGCTAGTTAGTTGTAAGCACTTCCAAGCTCTAAGCATGAAATACAGGTTGCAGGAAAGTTAGTGGAAATTCCTTGCTTCGAGATGTTGAGGTCCAGCAGAGCTCCCCTTCTGTATATTATATGAATATGGGCTGAACGGGTTTCAAGAGCTGACTTGGTCCAAATCAAATTTTTGATTAACTGACCATGGATTTGCCTCCTACATCAGGCAATATTGGAAATGACATCTTTATCTTCATAAGGGAAACATTTGAAAATACTAAATCACCAATTTCAGAACTAAAATGAAACTCAGATTATCTGGCCCCTTGCCCTCATTTTACAAATGGGGAAACCAGCCCAGCGAGGGAAAGGGCCCTGTACATGGTCACATAACTGTTAGGGGCAGAGCTGGATTTACATACAGATCCTCCCCACCTCCCCTTACTAAACAGACAGTCGAAATGTAGCTGGAAGTACAAGGCCATCTGGGAGATCCAGTAGTCCTGGGGACTTTGCTGGACTCTGCATGAGTGTATAAGGACTTCCTTCTCAGGACGCTCGAGGTTTTCCCCCAGGGAGGTAACTCTGGTTCTGTCCCTGCTGTCACAACTTACATCCAAGAAAAGAGGCTGATTCCCACCCCCTCAGGCAGCCCCAAGGTCATAGCTTAACCTGCATAATTAGAACATCCATTCCAGAGGGGGGGAACATTTAAAAGATAAAGGATGTCTTTAAAACAGATTCTTCCCAATACATTTTTTTTCATAATTATAGTTTTAAGAGCTTATGGTGATGAGAGAGCTGGCTACTTAAGAAAAATTAGGAGTCTCATTTGGCAGGAGAGGATTCCCCAGGGGCAGCACACTGTCATTTTTCAGGGCCCCTGGAAAGAAACCCCTGCAAGACAGCTCCACGTCAGCCTGATGCATGGCAAGCTTGCTTCTCTTATTATGGCCAAAGCCCGATATTTTAATTAAAAACACTACATATGCCATTAAATGTGTTGTTCCCCTCCAGTCCCAAGACATTATAGTTCGAGGAGATACAAACAAGTGAATGCATCGCAGCTGTACATGGAAACCACCACCTACCGAGTCACAGCCAGCGGGTTCCCAAATTCCAGCCTTGGAGCGCCTCCCCGTCAAAATGTTCTTTGCAAGCAAACTGTTCCCTCTGTAATTTTCACAGTTTATGGCAGTTGCCGTGACGGAGGAAGGAGGGCCGTGGGGAGTCAGGGGAGAGAAAAACACACTGCCGCCTCACTTAATTTATAAGCAGATCCTATTATTTTACAAATAAACTGATAGATAAAGTCCTATGGCTGCACATGGGATGGTACTTTTTTTTCCCCCTTCTTTGTTAATGTTATTTATTTGTTTATTTTTTGAACATAAAAGTCCCATTTGGGGGGTTAATCACTTCCCAACTGTGAGCTCTGGTGGGAGTCTCAACAGAGGTAACACTTGCTTAATTTAAGCAATTGTAGGTGGTTCAAGTTCAAAAATTTCAGCCGAGCTTAACTGTCACTAGCTGGACTACCTTTCTCCCCAGGGGAGCAGCAGCAGCAGCTGGATTTCATTTTTGGCTGCCAGGCCGTCCCCGTGCCTTCCTGGAACAGCCCACAGACTGAGTGCCTTCCCTTGAAGGATTTTATTCAAGGTGACAGCTCCTCACACGTTGGCGCTCTGATCACCTCAAGTAGCCAAGATATCAGGGGGGATGAGCGCACTCCTGCGAAGTCCAAATTTAGACTGACTGAGGTTATCCTTAGGCCCCTTGACCCCAGCACTCGGACGGAACAGGACCGCCAGCAACTTCACCAGGGCAGCGAGTTTTGTAATGATGTCTGGGGAGAACTGTTCTGCAGGAGCAGGCGGAGAAGACCCCAAGTGATAGAGACTGATGTCGGCTTTTGTTAGAGCCGCAGACAGTGTTAGAATATCTTTGGCATAATATGGCACTGGTATCTCTGTCAGCATCTCTGTTTTCTGTCACCGCACACAATCCTGGGCCTGTCTCTAGCCCTGACAGTGTCTTTTCAGATCAGGTTATTGCCAGCACAGAGACTAGCTCTGCTCCCCACCACACAGCCCCTTTGTTTGAAGTCTGCCCTTTTGTCATTAATGCACTTGATGTCTATTTAAATCTGACGATGAGTGCGGTATCTGTTTTCCCGTCAAGAGATCATTGACAATATTAATACCTCATGTCCTTGCCTCATTTTCTAAGCTCTGACACCTCGCCACAGTCTCCTGCATTCATCAAACAGCCCTCTCTCACCAGGATGTCTATAAACATTCTTGCTTCCAGACCCAAAGGAACAGGGCAGGCCTTAAAAAGGACTTTTATCAGTGCTGCCCAGAAAGAAGGCCTGGGGAATGCGGCTCAGATCACTTCACTTTCCTCCACATTACAGCCTACGTTCCAGCAGTTTCCAGCCTGTTTCCAGGATGGCACTTGCCATCCAGGTGGCATCTAGGTGAGATCCCGAGTTGAAATTTACTATGGAGATAGAGTAGAGAAAGGAAATTCAATCCGTGAAGGTACCTGAGAGTTTACTGGAGAGAATGCACCTGCTGGTGGGGGGGAAGGTGTGTGTGTGTATGTGTGTGTGTGCGTCTGCCTTTCATTCTTTTACTCAAGAGAAAGACTGTGTTCTTTATGATATCTGACAGCCCTATCCATTTTTTTAATAAAAATTTATGCTGTCCTAGTGCTGTAGAAAGAAATTAACATCCCTCGGACTCAGCCTTCCAGATTCTTGAGAGTTTATTTGAATCAGTTATGTTTAAGGATGCTGTTTGTGGATTTTCAGAAACATCTGAGACACTTCCACCCAGGCCTGTAGGGGATGCTGTTCCTGGAATGGAGCCTGACCAGCCAAGGCCACAGACTAGTTCCTGGCATTAGTGACAATGTTAATACAACCCCAGGTGCTACATAACCCAGTACTATAAAGGGAACATCTCAGTGCCAACAGCCAAGAGAAAAATTTAGGCCCGAAGAAGGGCCTCAGAAAGGTTTCATCCCAGCTCAGTGTTTCCAGGCACTAGACCAATACCGAAAAGCATAAATTGGGGATTAGGGGCTGAGGAGAAAGCACGGCCAAGGGGGGAGAGTGGTCCACAGCAGACTTGCTCATGGAACATGGCAGGAAAGAGAAGTAATGAGAGCAAGCCCAAGACCAGTTTTGAGGCCATGGAATGATGTCATCTTCTCCCTACTGCCAACTCTCAGAGATTCTGTGATCCCAGCAATTCCCAACTTTGGCCCAAGCCTTTCAACCAGGGAGCATCTGCCCTGTCTGTAAAAGTTTTTATGAGTCATTTTTAATCCTTATTTAGGAATAAGGTTTAAAGTTCTTTAGTGGAGAAACATCTCTTGTACAATCACAAAAATATTTACTATTTAGTACTTCTGATGTGAAGAACCTGGATAATTTCAAGTGCTAATTTATCCCAAATGAACCATAGATGGTGATTGTTGGTTTCACACTATCAAATTGATGAGAAAAAAAAATAATCATGCATATAGGTAGCTATTTTTTCTTTTGGTGAGGAAAATTGGCCCTGAGCTAACATCTGTTGCCAATCTTCCTCTTTTTGCTGAAGAAGAGTAGCCCTGAGTTAACATCTGTGCCCGTCTTCCTCTATTTTATATGTGGGACACTGCCACAGCATGGCTTGATGAGCAGTGTGTAGGTCTGTGCCCGGAATCTGAACCGGTGAACCCCAGGCTGCCAAGTGGAGCATGCAAACTTAACCACTACACTAGCAGGCCAGCCCCAATATAAGTAGTTCTTTTTACAGGCAGAATTGTGGCTCATGAATTTATGTTTTATGAACATTTATTTTTTTTGTTTTTTTCTGGTTATGCACATTTCAGAGACTCAAGTGCTATTAGTAATAAGACAACTCTATGAAGCTAAATTTTAAGTTAGTTTTTCTAAAATTAGAAGAGAAAACAAGGTGACAAAAAGCAAATTGTAGTTATAAGTATTTTCTTGGAAAAAACTTATTTTTGCTTAATAATCCTGCAAAGCTTTCATAATAACTATGGCAGGTGATTTCTTATGGATACTTAAATAAATATTGAATTGATTAAAACGTGTGACCCTATCTAGGGGTATTTTTCATAGTTAAGTCTTCCTACAACCTCGTTGAATGAGAGGCAAGCTGTATATGGAGCCACAGAATTATTTAAAATAAAACTGAAGATGAAAATCAAATGCATTCTAACCTGAGAATAGCATTTAGGATGCGTATAAGAAGAAGCCATTTAATGTCAGAGGCTCTTGTTACTTTCTCTGTGGCATTTTGTTAACACCACCTCTCTTCCCTAATCATCCAGTATGTGCTTGATGCCTCCTGGGATTTGAAAGGTTCTCTCTGGAAGTTAACAATATTGATTCAGGATAAAGGACTTGAAAATACATTCTGGGAAGATGTTCTATATCCTTTGCTTGGGCTCAGCCCGTCTTTAAACTCTTAATTTTCCGTTTTTAGAAATTGTACTAAGAGAACCTCAAGAGAGGAGAAGGTTATGCTTTATTTTGAGGAGTAATTGGCCAAACTAGGAAAGTCTCTAAAATGTGCAAGAGAAATCCTGCAGGGAACATGTTATTCCTAGGAGCCTGTGCTCTGGTAACGTTTTATTTGAGTGTCAACTCTGAGGACAAGAAAATAGGGTCCTTCGCTTCTGGGGCTTAATCCATTTGCTGCCGCCCATTGGGTCTGTGATTGCATGGCATTTCTGCTTTGCAGCACCTATGTTTCCTTGCTATACTAATTGTACCACCTGTAATGATGTGTTTCCTTTTATTTGCAGGTGTCCTGGGGAAGTGTCGCTATGTTTACTATGGGAAAAACTCAGAGGGCAACAGGTTTATCCGAGATGACCAGCTCTGAAGGCAAGTTCTGTATGCCTTAACCCGTGTCATGAGAGTAAAAGAAAAAGGGAAAGCAAAAATAAAGAAAAAGCTGAAGGAAAAAACAATGGCCCACATTGCATCTCTGTGGGAAGGCTATGACTTCAGCTTTTGGTACCTTCTGCTGACTTTGCCAGCCCTGTCAAGATCATCCTCCTGCCTTAGACTGAGTGGTCACATAGAGATTGACATGATTGCCCTTAAGCAGGTCTCATCCACCAGGGTGACAGACAGCGGCAGCGAAGCACCAGGGCTGACAGGATGAACACCATGATAGATTGCCTGGCCCCTCCACTGCTCACAGGGGAGCAGAGGTCACACCTGGGGCCTCCCTGAGCATGCTCAGTGGCTGTAGTCAAGTGAGAAAGATTGTGTCTTCAGCTTGCCTATTGAGTGGAGATCCCTCTGATACTATTGTGCTGTGGGTTTATTTTTAGTGAAATAGTCACAGTTTGGAGGAAGGTCACTCTCCCTCATTCCTCTTAAATCTTAATCTCTTATATTCTGCGTGCTCTTTCCCATCCCCCACCTCCCCCCACCACCATCCTTTAGCATCTTTATCACAGGCAATGCATTTCAGCATGCAGCTTTTCAGAGAACAGAAGGTATAAGTTCTCAGCCAGGTCATGCATTTATGGCCGGCTTCATGTTGTTACAATTCCTGTATTGGAGTAAATAGCTTTCCCTAAATCCCTGACTACAAAAGCATGAATTTTATCTTGTTTTGTTCATTTCTAAATCCACTTCTTGCCCTGAATACCAGACAGTGTCAGGCATCTTTCCCAGCATGAGGGGCAATTATTTATTTGTTTATTTTTAACCATACACACTTCCAGCTATGTCTATGGCCATATTTGTGTTTGGGGCTGGCTTGCTTTGGGTGCTATTTAAAAGTAGTGAGGGGATAAAAGATAGAGAGTTGGGTCAGGATGTTAAAAAAGAAAGTAAAGTCTGTAGAAAACACCCAACAGACCAAACAGATTTTAATAGAAGGCACAAACCCTTTGAATTTGGTATCTTTCTTGGGACCTCTCAGAAATGAAATCCGTAGCTTGTGAGATGGTGCTATGTCTTCATGCATCTTTGGCTGTATTCCAGCACTAATGTTACAAGGAAAAGAAGCATGATCACGCTAGTTGAGTGGCTATAATTTCATTTGCTTTACAGGTATACCACTAAAATCACTTTAGAAGATATTTGAATGGCTAATTGCTCTTGACACAATAGCATTTATTTTCGCTTCTTTTATTTAAACTAGGTGTTCATCATCCTGGGTCTCCCAGTATTAGTTTAATTTGAGAACAGCAAAACCTGAAGGGGAATCCTTCCAAATTATAGATACCAATTGACTGAGAGTTGCTATTGTAAAAGTTTCTGGGGACTGGGAATCTCTGAGCTACCCAGAAGAATCTACTTTCTCAGTTTTAGTTCATTTACATGGCCTCTGGCCTACTGAGTCAACACAGTCCTTGAATGACTTGCACTGAAGCTGGCAAGAGCCCCTCTTGTAGATTATGCAGCCTTTGGTAATCAGTTATTAAGACAAATTAACATTAAAATCCTGAAGACCGTTAATAGTTAGAGGATATTGAATGTTTGCCTTTATCTCTCTAATCCATTAATAACCAGAGTTGAGTATCTTTTCTCTAGTTGATTGACAAAACAGCACTGGGATAATGCTTTCAATTAGCTGCATTAGGTCCCACCCTACTTCTTTGTTTAGAAGCACCAACACACGTTTGTCCGTGGCGTATTACGGACAGCCAGATTTCTGTGCGAGGGCGGCTGGACTAGTCCAATGTCATATCCAATCTAGCGGGATGTATATCCTTGTCTTTATAAAAGGCTTTAACCCTGCCTCAAACAATAAAAAAGCACTTGTGAACTGACCACAGAATTTTTCCATCTTTATTTTTCTTACTTGTTTACTTTTCTTAATGTCAGAACCATTTGTATCACGCACTGGAATGTCTCCCTCAATGCGAGCTTTGGAGGCAAAAAATATTTTTGGAATGAGTTATTGACCACATTGTTTCCCTCTCTTTGGATTGTTTATTTTCTTCCAAAGTGGTGTAATAACTTTAATTAAGATTAGCTTTAATTATAATTTACGTAAAGGCCATCACTATGGCATATTCATCTTAATGATAGAATTATAGTGAGTTTTGTTTTTCTTAAAAAGGAATAATGATAATGAATTAGTGCTGGATTGTTGACGGTTCCACTGTTTGTTAAGCAAGATTTGCTATGCTGGAGCTAGACTTCAGTCTGAATTGGTTGAGAAGGAAGCAATGTTGCATGCTTATCTTAAATTCATAGGAATTTCCCAAACCTTGTTTTTCAAAGTAGAGAATTAGAAGGTAATAGATTCAATCAAAGCTCAGTCACACTTCATACCCCTTTTCTCTCCGCTTGATCTTTCTGCGTTTTACCCTATTCCACGGAGCTTTTCCTTTGAGAATCATGGTGCCCAACATCCCTGTATCCTATCTCTCAGGACACTGATCTGATTTGATAGCCTCCAGCCATAGAGGGCCACCCTGCAGTCCTCTGTTGCCTCAGCAAAGTCAGGGCGGACTGTCTCTTTCCTAAGTAATGTAATTTTATAGAACAATTTGTTCCTTGGGAAATAATGTTTTAGATTGTGGGGAGTCCTATTAAAAGTACAACTATTACAATCATTTGCTTTTACTTTTACCAGCCTTGCTCATAAACCCTCCATCTGTTTGTTGCTTTAAATAGAGGAACATTATAAGAGATTATCACTCATCAGGCTGCATGTCTGAGAGTTGTGCATTTTCACGTATTCATGTATACTAAGGAATAAAAGAAAGCAAACCACAGATTCTGGATGAAAGCAGTTTTTGTTTGTTTTCTTATATTGACCGTGTGTGTGTGTGTTTTCCAGCAGAGTGTATCTTGCACATTTTCAAGGGAAATTTCCTGCTGCTTCAAGGAATAACCTGGCTGTCTTTCTATTCTTTGTTAATACACAGATCAAAAACAATCCACAGGGCTCTTTTCATCAAAACAATAACAGTGTTCGGTAGTCGCTATTCACAGGAGTAGCCTAAGTCAAATCTGTGTCACTGCCTAACGCCCAGGGTGCACAATACAGGGTCCATTGAGACTCTTCCATTTTGTCCACCCATGGCAGCTGATCCAATGTGACATTCACCATCTGCTTTTCCCAATTCTATTTCCAAGAGGAAGCCTTCACCGTAGAAGGCTGTTACTATTACTTGCTTCTACTCTCTCTAACTTATCCAAATACCATGTTGTAAACTATTTTGACTAAGACTTGGAAATGGAAATGAGACCAGAAGAGCACAAAACATGTTGGTTACTTGTTTGTGTGACAAACAGACCGTCAGCCCTTAGTGGAGTACTGTATGTTACATCTAATACATCAGCAAACACTTAAGGGATTTGAAGAACATTACAAGACAGAGCCACCTATCTGAAATCATTGTCTTCCTACAAGTTTACCTGAAATTTTCCAGCATTAGTAATTCTTCTTTGGGTAATTATAATTCTAAATGTTAATTTGTCACCTTGTGGGTGGGGTAGGTAATGTCATGTTATTTGTACATATTAACATATTAGCATATGCTAATTTTTATAAAGTAGCAAGGAATGGCCTGGAGAACATGCAACCTAGGACAAGAGAGTTTTCCTAAGAAAGAAAAAAGAAAATTCTAAGTATGGAATGTGCCTCTGGGTGAGTTGCTAAAGTAAAGATGATATAAGTGGTAATAAATGGAATTATGCCAAGGGAGAGCATGAAGCAGAGCTTGAAGCAGAATTAAAGTATGGACTCTTAGTAGATAGGGATAAATAGGGAGCTGAGGGAATAATAAGAAAGGAAGGGAAAAGATGGTTTTGTGCCAATTAGAAAGTTTGCTGATGTTCAGCACTAAATTGGTGTTCAGCCATATTTTCTCCTCAAAATGGAATCATCTTTGATATGTGAGGAGTGCCATCACTTAGTAATGTTTTACAAGTTTCTCTGCCCAAGACAATGAAGCAGTATGGAAAAGAGGGATGACAAAGCACTGTGGGAATAAATTATCATATGTGTATGGCTACATATGGACAAAGATGACTATGGCCTGTACCTAATATTCCACAAAAACCAGAATCCTATGGTAAATTCCCTAGTTGCTGGACTGGCTAAAAAATAAGGAGAAAACTTGTTGTCTGGGTAAGAAGATCAAAGGGAGAAAATAGTTTCATGTTCATGCCAAGTCTTTATATATTCATTAAGTTCAGAGGTAGATGGGTCCTTGACAAGATGACACAAAAGCAAAAGATATTTTAATGAAAATGATGAAGGCCCCTATGTGGGGCTGAAGATACTGGTAAAGGGATTTGACTGTCCCTGTGTGCAGGCAGTAAACAATAACCCAACTCGTAGGAGATGTGGATGACATCTAAGTTCAATTGGATAACCTGACTTAACATCCACAATATTCTGTAAGTAATTAATGTTTATGTTTTGTCACATTGATTACTTTAAATCAACTTTTTCTTTTCCATATTGGAATAATTCCTTCAATCTTAGAAATAGGAATGAATTTGGATGGCACTGGGGATAATTTCCTTTAAATATTAACTTTTCAATTTGTGTAGTTGTGATGAGAGGGACAAAGGTGCCTCATAATGGGCTTAACCACAATATTTAGACTATTCGAGTTATGGAGTCTTGAAATAGGTAAGAAATAATATACATTACCCACTCACAAAGGTTATATTTATTAAATCATAGTTTAAATAATAATAATTAAGTGTTATTATAAAAGAAATTCCATTGGAAGCAAGATTTAAATGAATTTAACACCCAATTACAGCCATACTGGTCTACAGTGAGCACTGCGGTCCTGGACTTGGTACTTGCCATTAAGGTCTTTGCTCAAATGCCACCTCATTAGAGAGACCTTCTCGGACCACTCTATCTAAATTAGCACCCACCCCACCCATTGCACTCCATTACCTTGCTTTGTCTCCGTTTCACTTATCACCACTTAACATATTACATATTTATTTGTTTTGTCATTTATTGTCCAAA